ACGGTGACCGCTAGATGAGCAAGTGAATGGAAGTACGTCATCTCATTGATTGGCTTTTGTGTGGCATACATTGTCACAATTCTACACGGATTGTTGATAAAGTTTCAAACTTTTTTTATCCATATGTACAATTCGTTTTCTTTAAATAAACAGTTTTGAGGTGTGGTTTGAGCTGACCCACTAAAAAAGTAGTAAAGTAAACTAGCCTTAATGCCGTTCAAACTCATGAATTACTATTCCTGCTGTGTAGTGTGGTACTAGGAATTCGGGCATGGCTCAAATAAGAAAAGATAATTTTCATAGTCTTCATGTCATCAACCTTTATGACATACATCCGATATTCTCTTCATTCTTCTTCCTATCTTTATTTCTCTATCTGTACTTTTCCATGCACACAAACATACAAATACACATAACCAATAAATGCGTATAATATATATATATATATATATATATATATATATATATTACATATATATATGCCATATATATTGCTAAATTTGAAGTCATTGTTATGGTGCCACAAATAAATCACTTATTACTTCAATTTTAAAAAAAAATATTGCCCTTATAGGCCTACTAAAAAATAAACCCAAATCACATTTAACACTTGGCCAATGTAAAGCGAACTGTCTCTAAATCTATATATAAAAAAATTAGATTCCATTTCGTCTGAGTTTTTTTTTTCGCACTCCCTCACCGTGTATGCAATGATTTCGACATCTTCAAATTATAAGGACCTAAGGACCTCTAAAGACCTCATTTCCCAGACAACGGCGCCCGGAAAGACGGGATTAGTGCGGCGGTCGAATCGAATAAATCAAACATGGCAATATTTGAACAGCCGTAATGAAGGGCCACTTCATTAGGGCCCCTTATAACTGGTATCGCTGTTATTGCTTTATCTGTTTACTTAATGGCTAAACACGTAATCGGCTACTTATAAATTGCTTTTTGTTCAACCGACGAATTTCGTATTACCATATTTCTCTAAGCGTTCCGTGTTTTGGGTAACAATAGGAAAAATAATTAAAAAACTAATTCCATTTTTAGGTCACGTTAATTAAAATTGATTGCGGTGAAATAACAATATAAAAAATAGCTTTCAAAACTAATTGTTGTCGTTGCCAATTTGGCTAATCGTCTAATTTAGACTCGTGGAGCTGATGATAATCAATTTAATCATTGTGTTTCGATCGCCAGTTTTCACTGTTGTTTTACGCGTGGGTGTGTGGGGTGGTGGGTGGGGGGGGGGGGGGTGTGTGGTTTGTTTAATTTTCTCAAGACGCAAGTTATTGTCGTGTGTTAACTAATGACGTGCGTTACTTGATGACGTGTCACCTAATGACGTAAGTTACTTAATGACGTGTGTAACCTAATGACGTGGGTTACTTGATGACATGTACCACCTATTGACGATTGTTACTTGATGTGTCATCTAATGACGTAGTTTACTTGATGACGTGTGCCACCTTATGACGTGAGTTACTAGATGACAAGTGTCACCTAGTGACGTGTGTCATCAGATGACGAGCTTCACGTGATGACATGGTTCACTTGGTGACGTGGGTCACTTTGTGAGGTGGGTCACTTGGTGACGTGGGTCACTTGGTGAGGTGGGTCACTTGGTGAGGTGGGTCACTTGGTGATGTGGGTCACTTGGTGAGGTGGGTCACTTGGTGAGGTGGGTCACTTGGTGAGGTGGGTCACTTGGTGAGGTGGGTCACTTGGTGAGGTGGGTCACTTGGTGAGGTGGGTCACTTGGTGAGGTGGGTCACTTGGTGAGGTGGGTCACTTGGTGAGGTGGTTCACTTGGTGAGGTGGGTCACTTGGTGAGGTGGGTCACTTGGTGAGGTGGGTCACTTGGTGAGGTGCTCACTTGGTGAGGTGGGTCACTTGGTGAGGTGGGTCACTTGGTGACGTGGGTCACTTGGTGAGGTGGGTCACTTGGTGAGGTGGGTCACTTGGTGAGGTGGGTCACTTGGTGAGGTGGGTCACTTGGTGAGGTGGGTCACTTGGTGAGGTGGGTCACTTGGTGAGGTGGATCACTTGGTGAGGTGGGTCACTTGGTGAGGTGGGTCACTTGGTGAGGTGCTCACTTGGTGAGGTGGGTTACTTGGTGAGGTGGGTCACTTGGTGAGGTGGGTCACTTGGTGAGGTGGGTCACTTGGTGACGTGGGTCACTTGGTGAGGTGGGTCACTTGATGACGTGGGTCACTTGGTGACGTGGGTCACTTGGTGAGGTGGGTCACTTGGTGAGGTGGGTCACTTGGTGAGGTGGGTCACTTGGTGACGTGGGTCACTTGGTGACGTGGGTCATCTAATGACGTGTTACTTGATGATGTTGGTTCCTTAATACCGTGGATCACATGATGACGTAAGTCGCTTGATGACTTAGGTAGTTTGATGACGTCGATCACCAGATGACGTGGTTCTAGCATTAGATTCATAAAAGAAATATAGGTGTAGTGTTAGGCAGCTACTAAATTAGTCGGTAGTGATCAGTTGCTAAAGTGGCTTGTAGTTTGGTCAGTTGAAATTATAGTTGGTAGTTTATGTAGGTCTATGTGGTTTCATGTGTTTAAGAAATAGTTTATTGTATACAGTGTGAACTATAATAAATTTACGTATTAAACATCCGCTAGACTGCTAACCCGAAAGTCTCGAGTTCGAATCCGGGTTCAAGTCAGAAGAATGTACATGAGTCCACTCAGCTGTTATGGGTACCTAACTCACGTTCGGAAAAGTAAAACGGCTGGGCATAGTGCTGACCACATTATCCGTTCATAATGCCGAGGTCACAGAAACAGGTGAACTCTACTTCACTTGCCACATGGAACTTTAGGTTCGAAAAGGGAACTTTACTACTAAAAATAGCTTTGTGTTCCCGGTGTATGTTTAGCCTTTAGTATGAAGAGAAACTGCGGTGTGAAAACAGTGCATACTCTGCTTATAATGTCTACGGTGAGATTAATTTGTCATAGGGTAATCCCCGTGTCTGTGTTTATGTTATTCCAAGATTAAGTCACCATGATTAATGAGTTCCGCGGGTGCTTAGATTAATTGGGATTAAAAGGTCTCGCCAAATTAGTACTTAAAAAACTCAATTACTTTTTATCTAAATCTAACAAAAAAAAGTAAGTTTGGTTTTTTTTTATATCAGGGGTTGTCTTTTTACTTTAGATTGAAATTGGACTGGGGTCGGGGTGAGGGGTGGGGCGTCTCGTTCATCTTCCGTATCTCTAAACTCGTTGGGGGCGATCATTTCTCCATTCTTCAACCCCTCCCGTCAGGACTGTTATTTCTTTTCTCCACCCAGCCACCAATCTAAAGACCTAACCCAAAGCCCCCTTCCAAACAGTCGACATTTTTTTTTTCTCTACCTCTTTCCAATCATTCACATGGTCTTAGAGAATAACTCCACCCGTCCATCGAGTTCTCTCCCCTACTTTGATTTACCGACTATTCTCCCTTGACTAACGAAAAAAAAAATTTTCCGAGATAAAACAACAAATTTAGCCGGGGAAAAATAAAACATTTCCTGCCGCTTACGCAAATTGTGTCCACAAAGTTAAGATTTATTTCTAGAGGGAAATTATTAACATTCTTGATTGAACTGTACCGCTAAGAGCCAACACCCCCCCCCCCCCCCCCAGCTCCCCATCCCTGCGTACACCCCTGTGTTGGTATAAAATGATATGTGAACTTTTCTTTGATCCGCGCCTCTCTCTTCAAACGATGATCATACGACGTAGAACGGGTGTGATAAAAAAAGGGGGAATAATTTATTTCTGACAAGAGGATCTTAGGTCCATCCTGGGATTCTAAGGAGGAGGGGTAGGGGGGGGGGGGGTAAAGAGCAGTCGTATATTTTTTTTTTGGCTTCTGCTAAAATTTACGTTTGGGATAAGTAAAATTGATAGAGATTTGCATAAAATCTTCCAATAATTCTGACTCATCCCACTTGTGGAGGGGGGGGGGGGGGAAGGGAAATGGAAATATTTGGATAGAGTTTAAGAAACTAAAACCCTAACTCATACATACACACACACACACACACGCACGTACACACGTACACACACACACACATATATATATATATATATATATATATATATATAACTATAACACTAATACGTATCTGTATACAAAAATACAAAAACTGTAGCCACTTTATAAAAGAAGAATATTTACAAAACATCTGCGTGTTCACATTTTATTATATGCATTCCTAAAATATTATGTTTAAAATAAAAATAAAAATATAATATATTTTTAAGTGTCATGATGATTAGAAGCATAAAGAGACACAACCATTTTTCCTTTCATGCTAACATTTATGAAATTATAATATTTATAACTCTCTGCATATTCATAAGAAGCCACTTCTCGTACAGTGAATTAGTCAGCAATCAAAAACGTAATAAAAAAAATTAAGTAGCAGTGAAATTTTGAAGTAAAACACTTAGGTAGTAAAAAAAATGTAAACAAAAATTGAAAATTGAAGTAATCAGGATACATGATATTATACTTTTTGTATCAGTAGTGATTCGGAAATGTATATTTAACATTATAAGTTTAGTTTGTTTTCAATATTATTATTTTTTGATGACTCAAACTGAATCTCACACAAACTATCTTACCATCAACCGTTACACATGTTCGCAAAGAGGCGTCACACGTCGGAGGGTGCGGGCAGCCCCGGACACACACCGCCTAGTAACGCCAATTATTTCATGTCTTCTTCTTTTTCTTCATCGTTCTTAATTCTAGAGTTAGAGAGAGAGAGAGAGAGAGAGAGAGAGAGAGAGAGAGAGAGAGAGAGAGAGAGAGAGAGAGAGAGAGAGAGAGAGAGAGAACGGACAATAAGATCGCACACAGATCTAGATTAAACACCATTATTAAGACCGCATTTAGCTGCAGCAATAAAACCAACACTAAGACCGCACATAGCTTCAGCCATAAAACCAACATTAAGGTCGCATATAGCTGCAGCCATATCATATGCATTTCAGTACATTAAGATAGCCCATAGCTGCAGCCATAAAACCGAAATTAAAATCGCACATAGCTGCAGCCATAAAACCAACATTAAGATTACACATAGCCACAGCCGTAAAACCAACATTAAGATTACACATAGCCACAGCCGTAAAACCAACATTAAGATAGCACATAGCTGCAGCCATAAAACCAACATTAAGATTACACATAGCCACAGCCGTAAAACCAACATTAAGATAGCACATAGCTGCAGCCATAAAACCAACATTAAGATAGCACATAGCTGCAGCCATAAAACCAGCATTAAGATCGCATATAGCTGCAGCCATAAAACCAACATTAAGATTACACATAGCTGCAGCCATAAAACCAACATTAAGATTACACATAGCCACAGCCGTAAAACCAACATTAAGATAGCACATAGCTGCAGCCATAAAACCAACATTAACATAGCACATAGCTGCAGCCATAAAACCAACATTAACATAGCACATAGCTGCAGCCATAAAACCAACATTAACATAGCACATAACTGAAGCCATAAAACCAACATTAACATAGCACATAGCTGCAGCCATAAAACCAACATTAACATAGCACATAACTGAAGCCATAAAACCAACATTAACATAGCACATAACTGAAGCCATAAAACCAACATTAACATAGCACATAGCTGCAGCCATAAAACCAACATTAACATAGCACATAGCTGCAGCCATAAAACCAACATTAACATAGCACATAACTGAAGCCATAAAACCAACATTAACATAGCACATAACTGAAGCCATAAAACCAACATTAACATAGCACATAGCTGCAGCCATAAAACCAACATTAACATAGCACATAGCTGCAGCCATAAAACCAACATTAACATAGCACATAACTGAAGCCATAAAACCAACATTAACATAGCACATAGCTGCAGCCATAAAACCAACATTAACATAGCACATAGCTGCAGCCATAAAACCAACATTAACATAGCACATAACTGAAGCCATAAAACCAACATTAACATAGCACATAGCTGCAGCCATAAAACCAACATTAACATAGCACATAGCTGCAGCCATAAAACCAACACTAGGAGCGCACACAGCCCTAGAGGATGCAGTCTAGCGACACAAACAAATGACATTTTAATAAACCGCGCATGCGTATGTCGATGGAGATATTGTATTTTCATGTGATTTACGATGGGATAGATTGACATTTAAAACAGATTATCTTGAAGACATTTAGACATTTTCGGTTTCTACTTTTTATCATGGTTTTAAAGCCAAAAGTAGATTTGAGTCAAAGCGGTTAAATAGCTTGTTTACTATCAAAAACAGTTTTTGGTTGAGTGGTTAAATGCCTGGTTCATTACTTAAACTTGATTTTAGTCAAGTGGTTAAATGTCCTATTTTACTATCAAAAGTAGATTTGAGTTAAGTGGTTAAATGGATTACAATTTTTGAAAATATCGTTCATACAATATACCTGGACATTTTTCTTGTGGGCATTTGTTTTTTGCAGGCACAACATAAACATGCTTTGAGATTCAAGCATGTAGCAGACAACACAATTAAAATCTATGGTCTGGAGTGTGAAACTATGTGAAAGAAAAATCATTTCAAAGATTTGTTCCGTTGTTCAATCAAAACTGTTTCGACTTTTTGCTTTGGCGAATGTCCAATACCATTGTTAGTGTTTGTGGTCAGCAGTTCGTATTTGTGGTCAGCAGTTAGTGTTTGTTGTCCTTAGTCAGTGTTTATCTAGTTATCAGGTTCGTGTTTTTGTCTCCATCAGTCTTTGGTTCGTATTTTAATTACCTTGTCATCATTAGTAAAGAAAATAAAACAACGTTTCTGCGCGCAGATGAAGTAGAGTTCTACTGTGCTATCGAGCGCAATATATAAAGTGATTAAATAATCTCGTCTATTTCCTCCATTTTTCCAATTCAGGTACGCTTGTGAGCTGAGTCGACTCAATGGTATCCTATACATTTCAGTACATGAACTGAACATGACCACGCCAGGCTTTGGTGTTTCTGATTTGTATCGATTTGATAATCTCCATTATCAATTTCTCGATCCTTCTGACCAGTTTTTGTCTAGAAAAAAAATATACAAATTTACCAAGGGCGAGCATTGTTTTCGTATTGGACAAAACTTTCTTACCTTGTGTGGAGCAAATGTTTAACATTTCAAAAGTACCGGGTTCAAAGACATTTTACTCAGGGGGTCGTCCATGACTAATAAATTGTAATAGGAATTGATAGGAATTGATCAAAATACTCTGTTTACAGAGTTCTGACAAGATTTTGGAAAAATATCGAATTTTTAAGAAATATTCAACAGCATTTTTGAGGGGGGTTGTAGGCTGAGGTGTGACGTCATTTTAGGGGGTGGGGTCTGGTTTTTTGTGACGACGAATGACGGAGGGGAGGGGGGAGGTAAAAATCGTTTAAAAAGTGTGACGTCATTTATGGATGACCCCTCAGTGGAGAAAGTGGGCATAACAGTTGACACAGTGGGTACATTTTCGAAGTATATATTTTGTAGTTGAATTTAATGTTTTGTTTTTCAGACGAGGCTTTGGAGTGGTCTTGCTCCGGCGAACAACGCTCCCCCCCCCCACTCCACCTTCCATGGAGAGATATCTAAAAAAAAAAAAACTCTGTTTAAAAGTACACAATAATAAAGTCCCTCTAACATGGCCTCACAAAACATTGCTTTGTGGTTATATACTGCTGTGTGCCGGATCAATATCGGTTACCCAGTGTACTCGAAGATTAGAAGTTTTTTTTTTATTCCGTGGGGAATAGTGGAGGGCGGGGCTAATTTTAATAACTGAGATCGTATTTGTTTTCTTTTCATCTTTGCCTGCCAATAGTCTTCGTGTGGGGGTGGATGACTGAAAGGCCTTTGTGAACATTCGATGAATTTGAAACTTGATTTGTTCAGATGTTTGGAGGCCTGTGAACGTCTATAGTTTGAGCTTACATAATATTGCTGACGAGGTTTGTCTTTTAGGGCTAACAAGTTCTGACTGAATGGGTTTTGGGGCTAAAGGAATGTTCATTTGGGGCAAAAAAATGTTGCTGTTGGGCTAACATAATGTTTTTAGGGCTAACATAATGGTTTTTGGGGCAAACAAAAGTTGCTGCATGGCTAACAGAATGCTTATAGGGCTAACAATATTTATTTGGGGCTAAATGAATATTTCTGTGGGCATTTTGGGGCAAAAAGATTGTATTTGGTGGTAAAATACATTTTTAAATGGGTCAAACATAATGTTTCTGTAAGTTTATTTGTAGCTAAAAAGAACTTTTTGGGGAGTTTACATAAAGTTTATGTCTGACAAATGGGATATTTTAATAGGGATAATTCTTTTTCTATCGGGGCTAACAATTTTATTCTATGGGGCTAAGAATATTTCGATGGGGCTAATAAAATATTTTTTGGTGATAAAATTGTGTCTTGGGGGCTAACAGAATACTGTTATAGGGCTAACAAAATACTGTTATAGGGCTAACAGAATGTTCCTGTGGCTCATCAATAACCATTGGGCAAACCGAAAGTGATGGGGAAAATATCTGGCCATGAAACGAAACACGAGAGGCGGCCATCGATAGCTGGAGGTAGAGTTACGCTTCCTGACGATTTAAGTTTGCAGGGATCCTCGAGTGATGCCCCCTTGTTTAATGAGAACGGAACCAGGCCATCTGTCTGAGATTTTTGACGCCACGTTAGCCTGATTTCACTTGCAGCTGGACACTGGTCAATACAGGAGCGTCCGACATTTTTTCTTTCTAATATATCCATAAGACACCTTACTTCCGGGAAGGGTGATGCCAGATCTGAAGAGGAATGCAAATCTTCAGCCTCGTTCTAATTGAATCGCCGACGGCCTCGCTTTATTTGATGTTGGGGGTGGGGGGTCGGATGGAAGATGTGGAGTCTCTTTTACAACTATCCCCACGAACCCTTTTCATCCTGTCAGTCCTAAACACCAACGGCAATGTTTAGTCTCCATTTCACTTCGTATCAAAAGACATTGCCACCCCGGGGGGTCTCCGCCTCCCAACCCCCTACCCTCGTGTTTAGAGTAAGTTAGTGTCAGAATTGTGAAGGGTGGTTCAGTGGTGAATGGCCCGGACTGAAGGGAGGACGTAATCAAACCTGACAGGCCGACCAATAACTGGCAAGCGTGTTTGACAACTCCGAGCCGTCCTTCATTTCTTTGAACACCCGTCAAGATAAATCTCGCTGTGGTTTCGCAAGCCGAGCTGTATGTTTTAGTATTACATTTTCATTACATTAGCAAGATAGCATTACTTTGTTTACTTTGTTAAATTGTTAGGCGTCTTATTTATTTAGGACTCTTGTGAAGAGTGTTGTCCAAATTTGAAAGTATCACCGAAGAGGCAGACACAAGTAACATCACACACGAAACAAACTATTGAAAACATTGTATAATTTACTTTTTTATATTTAAAAAAAAAATGAATACTCGGTAACCCATTTGTTAGAGAATGTTTCATATTGTAGGTAATTGTGAACGCTTTAAATCTTGAATACTTGATCAGCTTAGTGCCCACTTTTAAAAATTCTGGGTACGCATTTTAGCTGAGTTGACTCAGTGATTAAAAAAAAATATTATATATGAAAATGCTTTTATAAATTTAGATGAGCTTACAAATTATTTTTTCGAGATTCGCCATAAAATTACAAAATGAAAACCTGAGGTCACTTTTCTAAAATGTCTAAATATAGGCATCACAAAAAAATATAATGAACAATCAATGATATTGTAAAGCTGAGCTAAAAACTGACCAGCGCTAACATGTTCATTGCCTGAACTGGCAGATTTATTTTCACGGCTTCCCCTGGCCGAGTTGCCCAGATCAGATCTTTTCCAGAGTTCAACAGTTTGGCCGCAGAGCTGAAATCATTTCAGATGTGTGCAAAAAAAAAAAAAAAAATCTGGGGAAAAGCCAAAATAGAAGTTGAAAAGCCATTTAAAAAAATAATTTGGCTTTTATTTTTTATTTTTATTCAAAGCTTTAATATTTGTTTTTGTAATTATACATACAGTAAAAATAAATCCTTAATGTCTTATGGGAAAAGATTTTAATATTAGATTAAGTTAAGAAACTTATTGGGATTTTCTTTTTTTTTCAATGATGAAGTGTGGACATTTTTTTTTCCACAAAAAAAAAAGGCTATAAATCGGTGGCTTTTTCTGACAAGGGGAATATGAAGGGAAGTTTGGATGTTTGTGAGGAATGGCGGGAAAATTGAAACCTAGTCAAGATGAGGTTAGCGGGAAAACGAGGCAAGGGAGATAACGAGATGCTGCGTCAATAGAATGTCTGCGGTGGAAGAATGGTAAATAATTGTTTCATTAAATTTGAAAGAAGATTGTTTGCCTTATCCCGCCGAGGAGTGTCGAAGAGTGACTTTTGAATTTTATGTCGGGGAATCCGGAGTGTAAGGAGTGTGGGGTGTCGTCTGTTACATCCTAGTCGTCATTTTTAGCACGTTTGTTTGATTAAATCACAGGGTCGGGCGAAGGGATAGAACTCGTGACAAAATTTTGAAATTATATTCAAAACTTCAACCAAAAAAAGTTGAAAACTTTGAGCTCGTTCAATATCAACCAAACTCATTTATGTTCTGTATTGTGGATTTGTTTCTGATTAACAAATTTACATTTTACATTCTGATAGCGATCTTTGATAGAAACGTCAAACTGTTGAACATTTTATTTAAAAAGTGTCGAATTTATCAATTTATTTACTATTGAAACCTAATAGAGGTAATTTCTCTTGTAGATTTTGATCTTCTTTCTTTTATCAAAAACATTTTTTTAAAGTTGTAAGAATTTTTGTTAAAACTGGTATTTCATTCAGATACTTTAAAAAAAAATTTCGGCGAATAATATTTTGAACGGGGTGGGAATAACTACAAATTCTGTTTTTATTTTAGTTGACGTTGTTTTGTTTATTTTCACAAACCTTTATAGTTGGTCAAGTTTTTCACCAGAAGGGCACAAAGAAAATATTCAGGGATCGCCACAGTCCTGT